TAGGAACCGTCGTTTTTACAAATGGAGCACCGTAGGCACCCCAAAGAAACTGGTGTAAGCAAATGACACCAATAGCACTGGTGTCATTTTAGACTTACCGTGTATGTATATATATATATATATATATATATATATATATATATATATATGGATTAAAATTGTAAACATGTAGACTATAATATACGAAAAAATACATTTTATATAACATTTTTAATAGTTTTTTACTAATATTTTAAGAAATTTCATTGGTCAAATATAGTACTTGAAAAACAAACCAGAGTATTCAAAAAGAATAAAGTTACTAATTCTTAATATTGACTGCATGAAACTCAAAAAAACAATTAATTTACTCCAATAGGATTTTTCCACATTTTAAATTAAAATTTACAAGTCATAAAGTCATCAAAGGTAGCAGATGATTTGTAAAAAAATGCCAAGTAGATTATCCACATGACAAATTTCTAGTAGTTCAAATCTTCAAATTTTATATATAAAGATTAAAGGTACCCCAGAGTATATTTTTAAGAAAGATGAGACATGTGAGTTCTTATTACAAAACTGAGGATACCCCATAGCAACTTTCTGAAAGTTTTTATGTGGAATTCATTTATCTGCATTTTTATGCAAATCAAACAAGAGAAATTTTATTGAAAACAAAATTTTCTCTTGGATAGGTATTTTTCGTTTTCTCTATTCACTTGTCATCTATTGAGAGAATAAGACTTATAAGAGCTTGTTTATGTATGATCTAGTTAGATCTCAATTACTTTACGGAGAATTTACCTAAATAAGACTAAAACATAATGACTTTCTCAATATAGGACCATATGTTTTTATTTCCCAATATATGACCATTGGTCATTATCCACTAGTCATTATTCAAGTAAATGTACATCATCATTGGACATTATTCCTCTCACTAGACATTATTAAGTCCTATTTAGAAATAAAAAAGTTTAAGTCTTATATTGAGAAATGACTTATATTTTAGTCTTATTTAGTGCAAATTTTTCTTACTCTATCTCTTCCAAAATAAACTTTTCTTCCATTATTTAATTGGCATAGGTAAAATTTATTCTCTTTCCTTTCATATTCGCATTAATTATTTGTATTACGTAAAAAATAAGTTAATCATGGTGTGCCTTTTTTATTGATGGATGAACTTTTCATTAAAAATATTCCTAAAACCAATTGTTTTTTTAATTAAATACAGCCTCCGTACACAAATAAACTCTGTAGCTTGACTTAACAAAGTTTAAGAAATTTATTAAAAAGTAAAACATAGATGATTGAAACTTAATTACAAGAGAAAAAGATTGATTCCTCAGTAGAAAAGAGACAAAATATAAAATTTACTTTTGAACGATCTAAAGAAGAAAGTGTGAAGTTTATTTAGGGCCTGTTTGGGAAAAGCTTTTTGGGATCGGAACGCTATACACTGTAAATTGGGCGTTTGTTTTGCGTTAAAATAGGAGCGGCGTTTTGAATTATCTCCATCGCCTATTTTTTCGTGCAGCTTAACGCAAGACGCTCCCTGGGACCAGCGTTCTAAGAAGAAAGTTGGCGTTTCGTAGAAATCTTCCAATTCTATCCATCAATATTTTACCGGGAAAGTATTGGTGCACGAAGTACAACCTAATACTCCTTCCGTCCCATGAAACATGAGACTTTTGCTTTTTAGGAGGGATTTAAGAGAAGTGTATTTTGGTATTGAATTTCTAAAAATGTCCTTTGATGTGATGGGTAAAAGTATGATTTGATGGATAGATTATTAGTAAAAAAGTATGATGTGATAGTTAGGGTATGAAAAAGTAAGAGATAAAAGTGACTTTTTAATAGAAATGAGAAGTGTTTTGTGGGACGAATAAAAAAAGAAAGGAGAAAGGTTTCATGGGACGGAGGGAGTACTAGAGTTTATACTCCTTCCCCCTTAAATTAAACATTTAAGAAATCTAGCGTCGGTGCCTATTGTGCAGTTGGCAAAGGCAGAGATTTCCAAGAGGTAGATTCCAGTTCGATTCCTAACAACTGCGCTGGGAGTCAACTATATATATATATATATATATATATATATATATATATATATATATATATATATATATATATATATATATATATATAAGTGATATTGACTTAATTACAAATTAGTATATGTTTATATTATTCTCAATCTAATAATGCACAAAGAGTCAATGCCTCCGCTTCCGTTGGGCATAGGGCTTCTACAAGTACCGGGTACAGGCTTCACTGCATGCCATCAATCTCAGACCAATGTCCAATTTATCTAATCTTAGTGATCGTGTGGCTGAGTATGAGGGTTGTAGGTGATGGGGCTCTTCTTTTCTTTTTTTTGGTAAATCATACATGTAATACAAGCATATGGATGATACGGAGTTGAAAAGTGCATATCTATATTTGACATCTGAGCGGTTCAAGGTAGATGATCTTTCTCTTTCTTACTTTCCCCCCCTTCCCATCTTCTTAATCATTAATAAGATCAGCAGCAATTATTATTTGTCTTTTTCTCTTTTAATTTCTTGCCAGATGTAAACAATACATTGTCATGCCACAACGTTTTCACAATAAATTTGTGATGGTAACCACTACGTACTTTTAATGTTCAGAAATTGCATTATTATGACATCATGATTTTTTTTTCTCTTTTATTCTCCAAAAGGTGAAATCGCTCACCCCGGGCGCCCCTCACCCCGACTAGGGCTGGACACGGTACCGGTTCGGTACCGTCACCAGAAACGGTACCGCCGGTACCGAGCACCGTAACGCACACCGGTACGGCGAAACGTTTCCGAGAACCGGCACCGGTACCGCCACAACCGGTCTCGGTTCCGGTGCCCGAAATTCGTTACCGGCACCGGTTAATTTTTTTTTTTTCGTTTTTTGCTCCTTTCTGCTCTCCATCTCCATCCATCTCCGGCCAGGTGCCTTTTTCATCTCCTTCTCCATCTCCTTTTTCAGCCTTCTCCATCTCCTTTTTGCTCCTTTTTTCACAAAATTCAATAAAAAAGCAAAAAAAAAAAATTGGGGGTGGCCGGTCCGGTACCGGAACCGCCGGTCCGGGTACCGGAACCGGTACCGGTACCGGCCGGTCCGGTCACGGTACCGGTACCAAGGGGTGGCGGTACCGGAACCGGCGGTTCCGGAACCGGAACCGTCCCGGAACCGTACCGTGTCCACTCCTAACCCCGACCCGACGAGAATGTGAGAGGAGGTAAATCACGGTGACCCAAGCACAACACTTAGCTAGACCATATCCTAGTGCGCACCAGAGACACTCCGGGCGCCCCTCACCCCCAACCCGCTTTTTTCTCTTTTATTAATTGTATAAATGGAGTGGAATTGAAGGGGATGATGAGACCCAACATATCCCATAATGTTGACAACCTCGCATGCTTTGTGTTCCAATGATATATATATGGCATTTGTAAAATTGACTTATGTGGTTCACAATTAACTTTGGTTTTGGTAAGTTTCAGCAAGGGTCCGTTTGGTATAAGGAATTGGTGGAATTGGAATTGAAATTCCATGAGATTCAATTCCATAGAATTGAATTCTGTCAATTCTAATTTATTTTTTGCACTATCAATTCCAAATCCACATAATTTTTGTGCTACCAAACACCAGAATTGGAATTGAAGTCCCTAATTCCAATTTCATAGTTTGAATTTCATGTACCAAACGGAACCTAAGGGTTTTTATCATGTGAAAATGGTAGTTAGTTAGGCCTAATTTTGCTAAATTAAACGCATCATTATCTAGCAAATATGCAATTACAAGGAATGCAATGCACCAAAGGGGTGGTGGGTTAGGGAAGATAAGCACATATCTAATTGCAATGGGATTCATTCACGTAACCTATTAATGGAAATGATGGGACTATCTTTAATGGATAATTATATCATACATATACCGATATGTATATCAATATGATTTTTTTTGAACTGCTCATTATTATTGTTGGGAGTGTTCATCATTTTAGTGTTGCTGGCTATTTTGTTTGATTATATTTACTAAGATCAGGGAAAAAATTTAAATAGATGTTGTTAACGGGTTTGGAGACTGAAAATTTGTAGGACGCAACAGTGAAAACAACCAATGAAAAATATGAACAACACAATTACTATATAATTAGAAACAATGTTGTAGCACTGCCACCGAAGCAGATGGTTAAGGTTATGCTACAACATTCACTGTCACAACTTAATAAATCAGAGAGAGAACACAAGAATTGTTTACGCAGTTCGGAGCTGAATCTCCCACATCTGCGAGGCCCACATCCATATATATAGTAGCCCTTTCACTAAATCACCGTAAGAAATTACACAATCAATCATAACAGAATCTTGTAATGTATTGATTTGTCTACTTACCATACGAGTGATTGGACGATAAACTATGTTCGCCGCCTCTATCTCCATGACTGATTATTACACCTTCTTCAGAAAGGACGTGTTGTTGGCCTGATTCCATATATATTATCACTAATCAACGTCTGGATGATCTCCCAATGAATATATAGAATAAAGATGAGTGATCTTCTTCCTAATATCTCCACACTCAAAAAATGTTTATATGAGAGGCGCGCGTGCGTGATAGTACATTATTTTGGTTTAATCACTCTGACCCCTCTCTCTTCTTTCTGTGTTATTCTCTTGATCTCTTCTCCTGAGATGTGTCTTTAATCACAGAGTCGTCATGTATCCCTCACATATATACGGATATATATATATATATGTATGTATATATGTATGTATGTATGTATGTATGTCAATACCATTTTTCCTTGATTTTTTTTGAACTGCTCACTATTATTGTTGGGAGTATTCATCATTTTAATATTCTTGGTCCCATATATTTGTCCTTTTTTGACTTTTTCGGTCAAAATTGGTAAACTTTGACCCCAAATCATATAAAAATGACATTGTCATTGATACAAAAATAGTTCTATTATATTTATTATATAAAATATTTTTCAAAATATTATTTTATCTAATTAATATACAATATATATTTTATTTAATTATAGGTCAGATATTGAAAACGGTCGACTGAAAAAAGTTCAAACTGGACAAATATTCTGAGACGGAGGTAGTATATTTTAGTATAATTGGAAAAACTATTGACCAATGACATCATAATAATCATCAAAGAAGTTTGATGGTGCGCAGTGCACGCTTTGTTGAGTTTGTTATGCTAAAAGTCCCGTTTTAGCGAGGATTTCAAGGGGGCGGCGCCTGCGGGGTCCAAGGGGCAGAGCTCCTGACTAGGGTTGAATTTTTTTTTATTTTGGACAAAGTATTGTGTTAAAAATTTGCTTGAATTTTTAATTTCCGGAATTTGGGTATCAACAAATTTCCGAAAAATCGTCACTTCTAAGTTTTGCGCGTACGTGAACTTTAGAGTAGAAGACGACGCGACTGCACCTCTTCACTCCGCTTCTATAAAACCCTGACACAGTTTGGTCGAAAAATACAGAGTTCGGAAGATTCATCGCAACACATACATGTTCTTGTCAAAAATTTGAGTTCTATCTGATTGATTTTTAGATTGAACACCCAAAATAATCAATCTGAAAGTGCTACACGACTCTCATATTAATCCGTGTTATCTTTGATTTCCCGAATAGGCTATTTTGTTTAATTATATTTACTTAGACTCAAAGAAAGTTTGAATAGATGTTAACGAGTTTGGAGACAACAATGTTAGTGGTAGGTTGGTAGTAGTATTGGTGGACAATAGTATTGGTTGATTATCTATGATAATGGTGGTGGTCGGTCGACGACTATAGTGGTGATGGATGTTGTGGTTCGCCACAACATTGGAGGCCACGGCAGTAGCCATGGGCTAGCAATTGTGGTGATTCGCCAGTGACAACAGTACAACTATAGGAGTCGGTGACATTGGTGGTGGGCTGATGATTGTGAAGAGAGAGGTGAAAGGTGGTGACAACATCAGACCACGAATGGTGATAATGGGCTGAAGATAATGATGTAACAACAATAAAGTAAGATATCAACGCACTCTATGTAGATTGATAATTTCATATCATAATCCTCTTTTGAAAGGGTTCAAATATAAAAAATATCAAAACATAAGTTCATGACTGGCCAAACATGGTGTAAATAATTGTCCAACTATAAATACGGAATAGTCAGGAGTACAAAATAAGATAACAAAACGTTAGTGTTACAACTTAGTGAACTTACATTACTCAAAAATCATAATTATTGGTTCCTTTTGCAAAAAATAAATGTCATCTTGACCATTAAAAAAAGGCAAAGCTATTATGCTTCCAGAAATAGAAAGCATTTTTCCCCCAACACTATTATAAGCATACAACAGGTCAAGGGCATTAGCAAAAAACAAAGTTTCCATTGACTTGAGCAAACAAAAACACAACACGACGACCGTTCCTTCCAAGAAACTTGCCAAGCTCTTGTGCTCATTCTATGTAAATTTTTGTGTTGAATGGGGGGATGGATTCCCCGGAAGAGTGTTTAATCTCACAGTCAAAGTTGACTTCCAGCAACCGATGGTTTTGGCTGGAGCGGTTCATGCCAAAATTGATGGTCATAGTGTCCCCTTTGTTAACGTGTCTGGGAGGATGCAATAGAAACACCTGACAACACAATAATTCTATTAACCCAACAATAAAGTCCTACAGTAAAGGTAGAAAGGTTGTTCCAAAAAGATGCTATATAGTATATATCAATGAAAAAACAAACTAATTTACGCAAACACCCAATGCAATACTGGGAATTGCAGATATGGAGAGCACGAACCTGTTGACCCCAATGCGTATCAAATTCTTCACTAGGAGCAGTTGTTAGCTCAACCTCCTGTTTAACTGGATTGTCAACACGCCCCTAGTAGAATGAACCAAAGAATACATGAAATTTGTTCAGATATGAGAAACACACATAACAGGTAAATCCCAGAAACAGAGTTAGCATGATGAAGTAAACTCACTTTAAAGTGCACGTCGAACCACCCACCAAACCCGCAAAGCCTGGGATTTTCAGCAGTAATCGGCAAAGAAAAACTCGAGCGGATGTTGACAATGTCCTTAACAGTTGTCGTCAAACAATCAATTTCCTTTATCATAGCAGGCTGTCCTATCACTTGATTCAGTTTAAGGTTGCCCCAGAGTGATGTCTAAGGAGACGACAATTAACATGGTTTTAGATACACAAAAAAAGGCAAACTTTTTCTCACGTTAGGTAGCAACATTTACATTAGAAGTAAAACGTATGCATACATGTGCAGTTTATGTAATACCTCCATCTAAAAACTAGTTTTGATTGACAAGCGTAAAAACCTATGAATATTGGTAAGGTACAATCACCATGAATCAAGGACCCTGCCTTCTTTTTACCTACTAAAATTTTGAAAATTCATGTGTTGGTAACTGGTTTAACTACACTTGTTACGCGCACATTGCTTGCGACTGTCTTATTTGCCAATAGAATGGGATATAGAGTTTCATTTTGTTGATAAAAAGAATCTTGTTATGGGAAGAAAAAAGTGTTTGAAGCATGATTTTTGGGACATGTGGAGTGCTACTAGGGGTGTGTTTGGTTGGAAGGGAGGGAAAGGGAACCCTCATATGGTTCAACTTTATTCTTTAATATACTACCGTGTGACTTGTAAATTATATGCAGTACTCCGTAACATTAAAAAAAATTAATTATTGTTCTTCCCCTTATCTTCCCTCTTTTCCCATCCCTCCCCGGCACTCCAACCAAACACACCCTTAGTGTCAGTTTCTCACTTCAAATCTCCCGGCCAAATAATATAGTTTTGAAGAATGCATACCAACCTGTAAATAGAATTTCTTCTGCTCTTCCAAATAAGGTTTTGTTAAAACACCCATATCAACACCGTAATAATCCTTAGTATCATTCACAAATTCATTCCACTCATCCATGGCTGCATCACAATCACATTTCTTTTGATCTACTAGTCCAGACCGTATAGGTGCCACCCACATCCTAGCATGGCTTGGATACCTGAAACCCCCATTATACCAATTCATAAAACACATGCTTCACAGGCATTAGAATATTAAAACAAGCTAATCAAAGACTGAAGCAAGCATCATAATGTATGGCACAGACTGAAAGAAATAACCACTGCTAAAATTTAAAAAACAACAAACAAAAAGAATGTGCACTGACACCTACATGACTCCATTTGGCTTGAGCCATCGATCACGGGCAAAAATTACAGAGTCAAACATTGACTCCCGAAGAAGAAAGTATCCCATCCATTCAGAAATGATCACATCAACTGCAAACCAGCGCATTGATCACATAACCATCAGAAAAGATGAATTTTTTGAGTTTTTATAACAATAGATATATGAATTGCTCTCACCCTTCTCTGGCAGTTGAACATCTTCCATTGAACCCTCAATAACTTCAATAACTGTCTCAAGGTTATTTGCTTTAATAAGTTCACGAGCGTGGTCTGCCATCTTGGTGGCTTCCACTGCATAGACTTTCCTCGCACCTGCTTGCGCAGACCATATAGCTAGAATACCACTCCCTGTTCCTACATCCAACACAACCTATTGTAGGGAAAACCATCTTAGTCCTAACCCCAATTAAATTTACTTGCAAACTAAAAAATTGTTATTCTCAATGCATGAAATCCATGAATTATAATATAGTTCAAATCACTTTCATTGCCAAAATGGGCGTTGCTTTCAATCTCCCTTATTATCAATACAAACATATAGACTTGTTTCATTTGCTGGTGACAAAACTTTTCGTCGAACTTAGAGATTCTTACAGATATCAAATTAAAAATAAAAGCATCAATACGAGCTTCCAATTTCATTCTAACAGCAAAAAAAAAACTGAATAGTTTACCGAGTATAATTTATCTGCACAAAGAACTGTTTTTTAGAGAGCTTCATAAGCCTTAAGCTCAGTAGCACAGTAATTCTACACATATCTACGAAGAACAAAATTCAAAGCAGCTTTGACCTATATCAAACATGAGAAAAACGAAAGTCTTCAAACAATCCCAAATCAGGCTTGTCAAAAAGCTAAATTCAGGAGCGAAAAGATTTTTTAGGTCTTTTGTTCAACTAAATACTCAGCACAATTGAATGGATAGAGGGGTGGGGGGTAAATTTCGGACCTTTCCAGCAAAGTGATGCTTGTTCTGGAAAACAGCGTTGTAGTAGGAGTCCATCCGAACGCGGTCAGTGAGCATGTCCTTCTGGTGGTAGAGAAAGCCGTATGTGCAGAAATAATTTGCAAAATCGACGCCCTTGTCCACCACGGTGGCGCCTCCGTCGCCACGGCTGCGTGCGGCGGCGGACTGGATGCCATTGGACGAGCTCCCCATCTCACTGGTGTCAGCCACACACACACACAGCACGGAGAGAGGGAGGAGGGAGGGAGAGGGACTATGGAAGGGATGTTTCTTTTTTCCTTCTTATATTTAGGGCAGCACTTTGGAGCAATCAATCGAGTGTGGACAGTCGCATGGATATTCATTTGTACCAAATTAGAAGTGAATACTCGGTAATATTTAAAAAAGGAAAAATTACCCAAAATAATCTCAACTTTAGCCGGTCTTTCAAAAATAATCTC